TCTGGTTGACTTTGCAAGCTGAGACACTTTAAAGGATAACTCTGGCTTTCTTGAGAATGAAATAAAACAATCCCTCTTGGTAAACTATATACTGGACATATCAAGGATTTTTGCAAATGTTTGGCATAGTCATACCTTCCTGTGTTTTGAAGAAACTGCTGATTGTTCCACCATGTTCTTTCTCAAACTGCACCTAGCTTCACTTGTCCTATCAAAATACTGTTCAGTTTACATCTGCCTATCACGTAGTTGCATGCAGAACCCCAGATGAAAAAAGTGGCCTTTTACACACTTCCTGTCCAAGCACCCCTGGAAGTAGAGACAGAGTCTGCAAGGGTAGGGGGAAAAGCAGAAGTGCCAAAGTGCCGACACTGGGGGCTGAAACTTGATAGCACAGGTATCAGGTGAGCAGGATCACAGCTGGAAGTGCACCATGGATATGCCAAATTCAGTTAAAAGTGGAGTTGGGTCTCAAGCCTAGTCTAGTGATAGCTGAGTGGAAAGGCACCAGGTCGTAGGCAGGATCAGTATCAGGGACAGGCAGAGCTCAGCAATGAGCAGGTGGTGAGGTACAAATTCACTGGGCAGAAGAGTGGTCAATAGTACAGGCCGAGGCTGGTAGCGAAGATAGGCAGTGAACACAAGCAGGGAAGGGTAATCCAAAAGCAGGTCAGGTGGAATCCTTGTCAATAACAGGATTGGGATGAGTATCAGGGTCAGGATCAGGGTCGCAGAAACATGACTGAAGACCAAGGAGCTTGATCAGGTTTAAATAGCCTGCCTGATGGCAGTGAAATTTAAGTCTGCATGTGCTCAATGATGTCTATATATGTCATATGCATTAGCAGGCATGGTGTTCCTGACATTGCTGTCTTGTCTCTTATACATCAATCTTCTTCTTTAGGCCCTGATGAAGGGGGCATTTTTGAGGCCCTAAAACATGTTGGATTAAACATATGCTTGGACAATTAATTCCTGGTGTGCAGCTTAAATCTCAGAAATGGTGGAAATCCTTTGTCATGGAAGAGCTGCCATCCAAGAATCCAAATACCACCCCAAGTTCCCATATCAATAGGATAACCCTAGGGTTCCAGCAACAATCTTTCTGCCTTCCCAAGTGTCTGAACAGGAGAGCCAGCATTCAACATAATTGCTGGTGGTCCATTCAAGAGGTGTAGTCATTTTCCATTACTTTCCTGACAGAAGCCATAATCAACAGCTCTCTTCTCTCTCTCTCTCTCTCTCTCTCTCTCTCTCTCTCTCTCTCTCTCTCTCTCTCTCTCTCTCTCTCTCTCTCTCTCTCTCTCTCTCATGATTGTCCTGTCCATTGAAAAGAAGAGACATTGTGATTATGAGATTCACTGAAAAAGAAAGTGATTCTGACAGAGTAAAGATGAGCTTGGGGCTGGTTTACACCAGAACAAGGTGCAGGAAAGGTGAGTTCCGTGCACATTTCCCGCGTAGCGTTCAAACACTTTGCCCTTGTGATCTTCATGCTGATGCCATTGTAATGTTAATGGGAGCCCAAACACAGATCAAATGAATGTGCTGCAAAATCCCACTGCATGGGAATGCGCGGGAATTGCACGGGAAGTAGCATACATTCCCCTTTGATCCCAGTGTGAACCAACTCTTAGAGTCCTGAGGCACAAAATGTAGTTTTCAGCAATATGGCATTCAGAACTAGTTTTTCTGTTATAACTGAGCTAAAACAGCCATCGTCTGGTCCTGTCTGGTGTACCCAAAAAAAAGGAATTAACCTGTAACATAACTATCTCAAAATATAAATGACTAAATGGTTCCCTGACTGGTAAACATGAGGTTATACATTAAGATACCCCCCCAGCCCAGGTTCACCCTGATGCAGTGCGGAATTCACTCTGGTTTCTGTGCGATTTCCGCATCACATCATGATCGCACCCTGTTCATGCGAACTACTGCGGGTGTGTATGTTAAGTTAACAACACCTTGAAATTGTTTCGCAAAACGCGGTGCGATGTGCAGAATCAGATTGCATGGGTGTGAATACCCATGGGACCCGATTCTGGTGCTGCCAAAAAAAGGGTCTTGCACTATTTTAGTGCGGATGAGGTAAGATCTGAGCCATACAAAACGTATGGCTTAAATTGCACTGCACAGAAATCGCATGTGATTTGCACAACAATGCGGTGCGGTTCCTGTGCAAATCACATTCAATATGCTGCACCGCATCAGTGTGAACCCAGGCTAATAGAGGTTGGTTTACTAAAACTGGAGAAGTCAAAATTTGGTGCAGCTGTACATGATAGCCAATCAGCTTCTATCTTCAGCTTGTTCAATTAGGCTTTGACAAAAAAACTGGAAGCTGATTGGTTTCTATGCAGAGCTGCACCAGATTTTGCACTCTCTAGTTTTAGTAAATAAACCCCAATGTGGTTGATAACTAAAGGCAAGTAGACTGTGCACTTTGCAAAGTGCAGTTGCACTCTGCAAGGGCAGTTGTTCCAGAGTTTAGTAAATGAGCAGAAGCTCTGCAGACTTCAATCACCTGCAAGCAAAAATGCTGTTTTCTTTTAATTTTCCTTGCACGTGATTGAGTATTCTTTACAAAGTGAAAGTTTGCTTCATTTACTAAGTTTGCAGCAACTGCCCTTTGCAAAGTGCATAGTCTATTTTACTTTAGTAAATCAACCTCATAGTGTCTTAAAAAGACAATACAAATCGGCACCTGATAAATGCCAGTATGCGTTGCCTATGAGGTTTTGACTCTATGAGGGTATATTTTGATGCATGCCCTCATGTTTAAATATATAATAAAATACGGATTTTAGAAATAAATACTGCGGTAAATTTATGGTTATTAGGTTGTGACTTTCTGTTGTAAAGTCCCATGTTTGTTTAGCCATTTGTTATGTTCTCTGAAAATGTAATGCGGTCTTGTGTCCTGAAAACTCTGAGTTTGACTGCGGAGAATGGCACAATGTCCTTATACACCCATACTGCTCTATTAGTGTCAAAAAGTTGAGTGCTTTTATTTACAGACATTATTTTTTTAGGGCAGGTTTTCAAGAGATCCACTCAATTCATGAAGTTGGAGAAGTGCAGATCTACAAAGGTTTAGGATAAAAACGGAAAAAAAAAAAAACCCAAAAAAACGATTTATCTTATTTCAAAATTGTAAGCAAAAGACTCCACCGCACCAGAAGACTATGGCGGCAGGGATGAGGGGATAGGGGGAGGCAATTTCTAACTAAAGCTGCAGCCAGTAGAACAAGGGAGGCCTTACACTGGTAGAGAGTCATGTCACTTGTGCTGACTTTTTTTTTTTTTTACTAACCTTTAACAAATAGTTTACTAAGGAATGTTTATTCTATTGTGCTCAATTTGTTAATCTAAAATCAGGGGCAGACTGACCATTAGAGCACTCGGGCACTTTGCGAGGGCCCAGGGTCAGTAGGGGGCCCCATGAAATGCCCCTGGTGCCTTTTATAGGCTTTTTTGGGTGTGCTTTGAGTGTGGTCAAGGACACAGGGGCACCATGATCCCCTATTGCCCTGGGGCCCCATGAATTGTCAGTCCGCCCGTCTAAAATACTACCATAATGCCCATAGCCTGTACAAAGGTGCACTTTATAATGGATTTGCAGCTTAACCCTAACTACTCCTAAAACTGTCCCCTCCCCCCTCCTAACATAAATGCTTACTAACCTGTGTAAGAAAAATGCATATTCTTACCTATTTTCTGGCTGATCCAGTCCAATCACATGATGTTCCCTGTGTCTGCCAAAGGTGCTGCAAGGTAGAGATGTGCAGGACCAAAAAACTAGTTTCATTTTTGGATTTATTCATCAAGTCAATATTTTTGTTTCGTCATATTCGTCATCTTGGAATGATTTGTTTTTGGAATTTGTTTCATATATTTGGATTCGTATTGTATATCCGTTGTTCAAAATCTATTCATATTTTCAGAAATTATTTTAGATGATTTGGCTTCATTTTCTATGGGTATTATGGCATTTTGGCGACTTGCTTGTGACTTTGATGCAACTTGCTTGTGACTTTGATGTCACTTGCTTGTGACTTTGATGCGACTTGCCTACAACTTTGATGTTTTGCAACTTTGGCTTTGGCCAATTATAACAATACAGAGTGTGACACCTATAACTGAATTGACAAAACCCTCTGAAGTCACAAACAAATGAAATGAATTGTTAATGGGATTAAAAAGTTGACCAAAAAAAGGCAGACTACTTGATCTTTTTCTGCTGTCACTCTTCTATGTGCCTATGGGTTAATTTAAACTTGCAGCAAGGACTGCCACTCCTCTGAAAAATGACCTGCCCTCAGTTCCTTTTTCAGAGGTGTTTGACAGGTGGTAAGGAGGTGATATGTCCCCTCCTTGGTGCCTGTGTTAAATTCCTAAGTGGATGGCATGCGGTTGTGGGGTGGTTGTAGCATGGACTTATTCACTGGGTCACATTTGGTAGGTGGCAGTGTTCACTGAACGTAACAGGAGGTATAATTGCTGCTACAGCCATGAGGCAAAGCTTCACACCAGTGGCATGTGTACACCCGCAACCGATGTCTTTGCCATGTAAGAGGGTGTGATTTGGGGCAGTAAAAGCATTCTTATGCCTAACTTCAGTCTTAATACATATTTTATTTTTAAGTTTGGTCAGAATTGAGAAAATTAACATTTCTGCCAGGTTTTTTTCCCCCTTACTTGGCCCATGATGACCAAAGAAATAAAATGCTGGAAGGGGGGGGGGTGTTATTTTCATCAGGACACAAAGTCACAATCTTCAAAAACACACTGGAGGGGATTTACTAAAACTGGAGCACTCAGAATCTTGAGCACTTTTTGCTATTAAACATGTCCAGTAAAAAAAAATTAAAAAATCTTTCAGCATAAATTTAGACCAAAATTTATTCTGCTACATGTCTTTGCTAAAATAAATCCTGGGATATTGGGATTTTTTTTTCTACTAGTAATGGCGGTGATCAGCGATATTTAGCAGGACCGTGGGACTGCAGAGGACATTCTGACACTGGTGGGGAACAAACTTGGTGTTGCTGACATCCCCAGTGACACCAATACAGTGATCAGTGCTAAAAAAAAAGCACTGACACTGTACTAATGGCAGTGGGAAGTAAGGGGTTAATGTGAGGGGAAATCAAAGGGTTAACTATGTGCTGGGAGTGTTCTACTAGGGGGAAGGGGGGTGTGTGCTTTACTGTAAGCCCACTGATCAGGATGGCTGTGCTGTGCACAGACATCCCGAGCAGTGTGCTTGAGCTGACTGCAACTGGGAGGAAGACTGTTTGTAAAGTGATTGTTGGTAATTACCAGCCGGGACATTTTTTTGCATGGACAAATATGTATTTTTTTTATTGAACCTCCGTGGCTGCGAACCCGGAAATGCAAAATCACGTATATATACATGATTTTGCGCACAGGTGCCACCATGTAGCAGTATATCTGCAATAGGGAGGTCTTTAAGCGGTTAAGGAGCTGTTTTTGTTTTGTTTTTTATTTTTAATGCCGGCATTGTTTGCTTACAGCCCTGGCCGAAAGTTTTGAGAATGACGCAAATATATTCATTTTCACAGTCTGCTGCCTCAGTTGTTGATGGCAATTTGCATATACTCCACAATGTTATGAAGAGTGATCAGATGAATAGCAAATAATTGCAAAGTCCCTCTTTGCCATGAACATGAACTTAATCCCCCAAAAAACATTCTCACTGCATTTCAGTCCTGCCCCAAAAGGACCAGGTGACATCATGTCAGTGATTCTCTCATTAACACAGGTGTCAGTGTTGATGAGGACATGTCTGGAGATCACTCTGTCATGCTCATTAAGTTAGAATAACAGACTGGAAGCTTTAAAAGGAGAGTAGTGCTTGAAATCATTGTTCTTCCTCTGTTAACCATGGTAACCTGCAATGAAACATGTGCAGTCATCATTACTTTGCACAAAAATGGATTCACAGGAAAGGATATTGCTGCTACTAAGATTGTATCTAAATCAACCACTTATCAAATAATCAAGAACTTCAAGGAGAGAGGTTCAGTTGTTGTGAAGAAGAATTCAGAGCGCCCAAGAAAGTCCAGCAAATGCCAGGACCGTCTCCTAAAGTTTATTCAGCTGCGGGATCAGGGCACCACCAGTGCAAAGCTTGCTCAGGAATGGCAGCAGGCAGGTGTGAATGCACCCGCACCCACAGTGAGTAGAAGACTTCTGGAGGATGGCCTGGTGTCAAGAAGGGCAGCAAAGAAGCCACTTCTCTCCAGGAAAAACACCATGGACATACTGATATTCTGAAAAAGGTACAGGGATTGGACTACTGAGGACTAGGGTAAAGTCATTTTCTCTAAAGAAATCCCCTTTCCGATTGTTTGGGGCACTCTGGAATAAACCTTGTCCTGGGAAGAAAAGGTGAGTGCTCCCATCAGTCCTGTGTCATTCCAACAGTAAAACATCCTAATACCATTCATGTGTGGGGTTGCTTCTCAACCAAGGGAGTGGGCTCACTCATAATTTTGCAACACAGGCATGAATAAAGAATGGTACAAAAACATCCTCTGACAGCAACTTCTCCCAATGATCCAAGAACAGTTTGGTGACAAACAATTCCCTTTCCAGCATCATGGAGTACCTTGCCATAGAGAAAAAGTGATAACTAAGTGACTTGGTGAACAAAACATCAAACGTTTGGGTCCATGGCCAGGAAACTCCCCAGATCTTAATCCCATTGAGAATTTGTGGTTAATCCTCAAGAGGCAGGTGAACAAAAACCTCCCCACAAATTTTGACAAACACCAAGAATTGATTATGCAAGAGTGAGCTACCATCAGTGAGGATGTGGCCCAGAAGTTGATTGACAACATACCAGGGTGAATTGCAGAGGTCTTGAAAAAGAAAGGTCAACACCACTTAAACATATTGTCTAACTAATTCTTAATAAAAGCCTTTGACACTTATGAAATGCTTGGAATTATACTTCGGTATACCATAGTAACATCTGACAAAAAGAAACAGCAGACTTTGTGAAAATTAATATTTGTGTCATTCTCAAAATGTTTGGTCATGGCTGTACATTCTGCTATTAGTGCGGAATCCCAAATACAACAGATTCATGTTTGTTAAGGACACAGCGACCGCCCGCTTCTTAACATCCAGCTATTCTTCACAATGAATTTGGATAGATTTGATATTTTTTGATTCAAATCCAAATTAATTTCTAAAAATTTGAATCCGTTCAAAAACGAATAAACAAAACGAAATAAAACAAATTTTATTACGAATGCAACAAAACAAAATTAGTAACTTAATGAACTGATCGGAATGGAAATTAAACAAAATTTTTTTCATTCTGCAGATGTCTAGATAGAGCACATGTTCAAGTCATACAAGGATATAAGTTGCTGTGATTTCTCTCTTTCAATTCTGCTGAGACAGCCCTTTTTTCCTTCCATACAAGTGGTGGGGGTACACTCTAGTACAGTCTGATCACACCAGGCATCCAAATCACACCTCACACCCTCCCAGGGAGAAAGTTTCTGGTCTCTGAGACAAGGACCTGTTTGATGAGAGTGTTCTCTGAGGTCTCTCCCTATTGTGGTCAGCTATGGCAGGGTTTCATTAAGCCAGCAGTCCAGTCTCTTTTTTTGACCCCCTGCTAGCTTTGATACTGTTCTTTCTTTTCTTCTCATTAGTCTGCAGACACATTACATTATTTTGTTTCATCACCATCCTCCAGGATTGATCCAGCCCATGCCAAGATGATTGACCTCTGCACTGGGGACACTCCATAGACAAGCATAGCAAAGTCTCCTTAAAGTAGTCAGAAAAATAAGTCTTGCTACATCACTTCAGGCTGGCCTCTTTTGCAGGTATAGCTATGAAAAAACATTAAAAACAGGTGCCTATACTGAATAAAATTCAGTAATGCACTGACACACTCTGCTCTGCACATGCTCAGTTGCTCTCCATTTTTGGCATTTTTAGACACTATGCCGAATTTGTAGAGGCTGATCTGCTGACAGTCTAAAGATTAAAGCGGAACTAAACCCATTGATTAACAGTTTCAAAAAACAATTACATTCTCTGCAGCCAGGAATGCTAACTGTCACATTTGCTTGTGTTCTCAAACAAACTGTCAAACCATCAAATGACTGGTGTTATAAACAATTATATGTTCAGAACCATGACAGTTGCAGTTCAAACAGATTGCAGCTTCTGTGGCTGAAAAGGATAGGAGGGAATCATACTGCTATGACTACTGCTCAGGGCTCTGGGCTTCAACAAAATGGCAGCCTCCAGCAAGAAGAAACAGAAGCAATGCTTGAGGCAGTTTACAGCACATACTAATTTTGGTTGCATAATTATTAATGTGGAATGTCTGTTCCTTGCTAAAGAACATTTTTTTTCAACCAATTTTTATTGATTTTTTTGTATCTGGTTCCTCTTATACATGTAGGGTAAATTCAGAGGCAGTGTAACATTTAGAGTACAGGTATTGTGGTGATCCCCTAAGTAGGTACAGAAGGGGGGATCATATGCCATAAATGTCAGTATTGTAGGAACCAGAGGGGGGGGGGGGGGGGGTTAGGGTAGGGTAGGAGAGAGAGGTAATGGGAAGAGTAGGCAGATACAAGGGGGAGGGAAAGAACAAAAACAATGTAACATTGTAACTAAGCCAGTCATTAGAAATAAATGTTTTTACTCCAAATGGTAAGAACTATCAAGTTTAGATTGTACGGTTAGGATTAAGTGACCATAGAGACCATGCTTTATGGAATTTGGTGTTGGAAGTTGTAGAAGGGAGAATCTTCCCTTCATATCATATTGGGTGTTTAAATTGAATATTACTTTAGTTAAAGAGGGTGAGTCTAGGGATTTATACAATTTAGCAATGTTATTTTCTGCTGCGTATAAGGTATGTACAATAATGGTATGTGATTCGGGGGGGGGGGGGGGGGGGGTAGTGATGGGTTAGGTGTAACCTTGTTTTTTGTTATTTCTGAGATTAGGATAAATATATTATTCCAGAATGATCTAATTGATTTGCAAGACCAGAATATGTGAAAAAGGTTCCTCGTTCTCCACATTGTCTTCAGCATTGTGGGGAGCAGTTTGGATATATTTTGTGTAGTCGGTCGGCGGGTAGGTACCAGTGGTGTAAGAGTTTAAGGTACGATTCCCAGTGTGATGCACAATGAGATGCTTTATAGGTTATTTGGAAGGCTTTATTGCACATTTGGTGAGTGATTATTTGGGATAGTAGCGTTTCCCAGTTGGTTCTTAGTGTAAATTTTGCTGGGGTAATAAGGGTGTCAGGAATGGACTTGCCAATAATGGTGGGACTCACCTGCCTTGTGGGCTGCAGTACCAGGGCTGGCCAGTGGGTGCTCTCAGCAATCAGAGACTCACCCCTGCAATCAGCCAAACACCTGAAGCTGATTGCAGGGGTTGTATTTGAGGAATGGCCAGACTCAGGGCCTTGGTGTGTGTTTTTCCATGGGCCCCTGTACCTTGTATACTGTATTTCTGTTCCTGTATGACTTGTTGCTGACCCTGCCTGATCCTGACCTCTGCTGACTTCTCCTGCTTGATCCTGGCTTGTGACCCTGACCATTCTCTGCCTGACCCTCTGTACCACGCTGCCCGTGAGTTACTGAACCCAGCTTGTGACCCCGACCACTCTCCCGCCTGTTCCTGGTGCTCCGTTTGCTACTAACCCGCCTGCCTGACTACTCTTTGTATTGTATGTATTGTTATTGGTGGGTGGTTTGGTTTGTTTGCACTGTGTTTACGTTTAGTTTTGCACTGCGTTTTGTATTGTTAGTCTTAATAAATTATATTGTTTATACCATATCTGAAGCCTGCGTTTCCCTGTGTCAGTCCACACACCTCTGGTCATATCTGGAGCCCTGACAGAGGGTGTAAAACCTGGATATACCTTTACCTGGACTGAACTTCCATAGTGGTCCACATTTTCTCTTTAGATGGGTGCCACCAATAGTATAGTTGGTGGAGTATCGAGGCTATGTAGTAGGTATGTATGTGTGGTAAGCTTGTTCCTCCTTTATTGTGTGGTTGGGTTTATAAGTTGTTGGTGCATCTGGGTCTTTTTGATTCCCACAGGAATTGGGAGAAATGTTTTTGTGCTTTATGGAAAGAATTTCATGGGAACAGGTATGGGTAGAGATCTGAAAATATATAGTATTTTGGGGAGTATAAACATTTTTAGCAATACTACCAGACCCAGTTTGGAGATTCCATAGGTCCTAAGTGAGTGGATTTCTTTAGGAAGAGTTTGGAGGAAGGTTTTGT